ATATATATATATATAGGAAAAAATATAGCTTATTACGTGAAAGTTTATTCTTACTTTAAAAAATTTAATGTAATCGTTTTCTACAATTATTTATTAATTTTTAATTTATTTATGATTATTGTTTTATTTTATATATAGGTACTGATACTGGTATCGATTATTGATCCATTTTAATTTGTTGTATTAATATACAAATTATGATTTAATTATATAAATATTAATTAAATTGTTAGGAACAATAATATATGTATATTAATAGAAAGTTTCGAATATTTCAATTCTTTGACACTTAACAAAATTTTTAAATATTAAACATTTATAAAGATGAATTATATTGTTATTCACAAGTTGTTTTGTTTGTTTTAAACATTTTCGGATTATATTTTATCTATTTTAATTAACAAAAATCAAAGATTGAAATAAAACACTTGTAATGTAGTGCTTTATCCCTACATAACATTGTCTGTGGTTGTGTGTGGGGTAAGTAATTGTGTTCAAGAAGCACTCCTGAAGGATATTATGTCCTTCTAAAACTGGACGTTATGAAACAGACAAATTGTTTATTGTAGTTTGATCATTTATTACTTAAGGGGAGAAGTAGGAGTATTCCGTCTCTAGCTTTAAAGATGGAATTCCACTTATTTCACCCCACGTGACTCAACATCACACCTGTATTCATATGGGTAGTTGAGTGATTCTATTTAACACAATGAACACGTCGTCATAAATTGTTATACTAGTTTATCAGAAGACGATTGGGGAAATGTTACAAAATGTGCAGTAGCATTAATTTATTTAAATTTAGAAAAAACAAGAGGAAACATAGATATTGGATTTAAATCAATAAGAGAACAATTTGTAGAATATCATCGATTGATTACAAACGAATTAGACGACGACAATGAAAGATTCCACGTGTAACATAAAAGACTTAACGTCCAAGTGTTCTGCTGCTCTCTCGCTACATAATTTTTGTTTTTCGGACACAATCTCAGACCCAGCACGGACAACATTATGTAGGAGTAAAGCATTACGCTGCACATTTACAAATATATAATGAAAAACTAATTGTTTTATACACAACTCACGGTATTCACTTTTACTTATAACTAAATCCCGTTGTCTTCTAAATTTACATTTCTTATTGTTGTAATAGAATAAAGAAAACATTGTAGTCGCTGTTACAAAGTATTCATAACGCATTTAGATTTATTAATAGCATTATATTGCATTATAAAAATTATAGTTTTACTTCTTACTGATTTGAATATTTAATTAATTTTTTATATTTAGTTTGTAATCGGGTATTTCTTATAAGCATTGTTTAATAATTAATATAGGTGTCACACGGTCCATTAATTTTATTTGTAGTGGTGAAAATATACTAATATATAGTATAATTAAATTAGTATATATTCCTGGCGTTACTGGACAAAACAATGACAAATATTAAACTTGAACAATATTAAAAATTTGATTATTTTAAGTCAAATTAACATCGTCATTTTTGGCAAAAAAAAATTAGTTTTTTACGGGATTTTCTAAAATTCCTAAGAATTATTATTATAAAAAATATCTGAATTATTTTTATCAGCTTAATTTATTTATTTCAGACATTTTAAACTTGAAGCGGATTTAGCATCAATGACATGGAAGATTAAATACGAAGATTTGACTGCTATTATTCCTTCAAATTGTAAACATTTAGGATCTAGAATTAGTCTAAATCGTGTCAGCATACCTGTAAGAAAACTATTTCATTCATTAAATTTCTTATTATTTTATATAATTTTTCATTTTTAAAACATTCATTTTACTCACCTGCTCTTTAGTGATTATGAAATTGTTCTATAGAAATTAATATTAATTCTTATTATTCTTTAAATATTTATTTGATTTATATTTATAAACTGCCACCGTGTTAAACAATATGAATATATAGAAATAAGATTTACGAATTTTCAGAGTACTTGTTCCACCGAAACGTTTCCAGTTGGAGATATTAGCAAACAAGTATTTATTAGAACGTGTTATTATAAGGTATAATATAATAAGTAAATAATATATTTTATTAAAAATATCGTATTCATTTAAGAATAATGTTTTTATTTTATTCAAGGGGACTGTTGTTGCCATCAAAGCAGTAAATAAAAACAAAATAGAATTTTCTCGGTCATTACTCTTGGAACTTAAGAGGGTACCGTTGATACTTTTATTTATTTTACTATATAAATTATATATTTTAATTTAATAAGTTTTTGTTTTAGATGAAAGATCTTCAGCATAATCATATTGTTAGATTTTTAGGCGCTTGTTTAGATCCTCCTCATTGTTGTCTAGTGACTGAATATTGTCCAAGAGGAAGTTTGCAGGTATATATAATTTTATGATTTTGTTACGAAAATAAATAATATAAATTGTATTATAAGCGTAACGTAAAATTATAAAAGTTCATTGAAACTGGCTCAAGTTATTAAATAAATAAAGCAATTGCTTAATTCAGATAACCGATAGTTTTTATTAAAGAAACGTTTTATGGGCAATCATTTTGCCATCCTCGGCTTACAATTCTTATTAACAAAGCAGTTTTTTAGCGAGAATAGTACATGAAAGTGTTGGCTCGAAGGCCGGATAGTCGAGACTATTAAGGCTATTATAATATAATCATCATACTAATAATACTAACATCTTGTTGTGGTTTGATATAAATTAGAATGGATGAACTTGGCGGTATGAAATATTTATGATAAATGAATTTGCAATATATTTCAAATATAATTTATTTTTCAAAAAATACGGGAATATTTTGCTGAATATTATTTTTTCATTTATTTGTATTATTATCTATTGAGTTTCTTTTATGATTCAATTAAATACGCTAAATTTAATTTATTTCTTTTTCTGAAATGTTTTTTTTTCTACTAATCGTTGAAAAAGTTCTAATGATAATTATATCTCTTTAATTCTGCGTTAATTGTATTTTCTGAAATAATTACAGATCCTGAGAGAGTTTTTGTTTAACGATTACACTATTTGGCTTGTTAAAGGTTAAATTAGCTCAAGATTAAAATTAAAATAATGACGTATTTTATCAGAATTTGATTTGGACGTTATCATTGATTAATTGTTAGAATATTTTAATTAATTATCGAATAAATTATATTTAAATTAACTAATTATATATACATTCAACTCGAAGACTAATTATTTTTTCACTTTGTGAGAATTTGATAATTAATATTATAGAAAATATACTTAAATTTGTTTTTGTTTTCTTCACGTGTCTAACATCTAAAGAGCAACAATGTTAGTTTCTTTTGTTCTTTAGTGAGTCCCTTTTGTTGTTATTAACGTAATAATAATAATAATGATATATATATATATATCATTATTATTGATATATATTTAAACAAATGAAATACTTAGAATGTTTTTTATTAATAAAAAGCAGTCTTAAAAAGTTTGTTTTCTGTTAGTAAAAGTCAAATTAAGTTAATTTTTCAGGGGTATTTATATTTTTTCAAGGGGATAGGAACCACTAATAGCTCCTGAGTCTTCTCCTAATCCGGAGAAAAATTTCCAGCTTTCCCCTCTGGACTGTACTGCGAACAGTCAATGTAAGAGTTTAAACAATAGAGTTGTATATTACAAATGGCACAATACAGAAAGTCCTAGGCCGAAAGTCTAGGACCTTCTGTATTGATTTAAATTAAGTTTTTGAATATTTCTTAAGCGTTAAAATAAAAAAAATAAAACTGTTTTTCGATATACGTAATAAAAATGGATTAAAATCACTGTCTAAATCAGATAACTAAGGTTTAAAAACATAAATATTGATAATTAAAATTAATACTACAATTGTCTCTAATTAAGTGATTTTATTATATAGCTGGTAATAAATTATTATTTTGGCTATAAAATTATTTATTATTTATAAATTCTAAAGGTAATATGCAAGAGAGACATGAATATACTTATTCTATTTTTTAACATGGATAAATATTATAGTGAAAAGCTATCTGATGTGGACAGTAATTATTAATTTCTTTTTTGATAAAATGACTAAATACATGCTTTTAAATTAAATTTATGATGTTTATAACTCTGTAAAGGATATTTTAGAAAACGATGAAATTAAACTTGATTGGATGTTTCGTTGTTCCTTGATGCATGATATCGTTAAGGTAAATTAAATGTAACATTTTATGCACATATTTTCAAATTTGAGAATATTTAACATATTATATTTACATAATTTTGAATTTCAGGGAATGGCTTATCTTCATAATAGTGAAATACGATCTCACGGAAATCTGAAATCTTCGAATTGTGTTGTGGACAGTAGATTTGTTTTAAAAATAACAGATTTCGGTCTTCACTTATTAAGAACTTACGATGAAAATGAAAATGAAGATTCGTATGCTCATTGGAGAAGTAATTATATTAAATTGTTTGAATTTTATTATTAAGAATGTACTTAGTATTTATGTGATTTTATTTAATCAATCGTCCCTTGAGATTCCAATTGTTCTATCTCTCAATTTTGTAAATACTGAATTGAGGCTTCTTTTGCTTAATATCGTGTACAACTGTTATAAAACCATACAATCAATGAGAAATTAGAGCTGATTTTTTTTCATATTTTCTATTGATTGTATGGATTTATAACAATTGTACACTATATTATAAAAGAGAATCTTCAGTTCATTATTTTCAAACTGGAAAAGAGAACAATTATATTATCAACAGACGAAATCTTGCTATAACTTATAAATTGTTCCTTATTTCTGATTGAACGATGCTCAAAAATATTGGTAGCATTATCTTGCATCGTTCAACTATAGTCAGTAAAATCAACACTGTAAACGTAAACCGCCAAAATATTCAAACCTATGATCACTTTCCAGTGATAACTAGCTCCAGTGATCCCCAGGGTTGAAGAACAGTGCATATGTCTTTCTTTTGTGGATTTTTCACAATTAGATATGAATAATTAAAATTGAAGATGTACAGCTTTGTCATCGGACATATATGGAGTGATTAAAAAAATTGAATCGTCAATAAAACAAGTAAAATTTAAGTTTGAAGTAGAAGTTTCAAGATACTGTAAGAAAACCTAACTCTTATTGCTATCAAACAAACTTATATAATATCCATCATCATCTCTATCTCATGTACTAAATTTGAAAAGTAAATTTTGAAAATTATTTATGAAAAAGTATTATATATATATATACTATGTTTTATTCCAGTTTTTTTTTCATTTTTATTCTAAAATTTCTGTTTATTAATGGGAGCTTAAGGGAGCTTAACTACAGAATATGAGACCAAAGAAATTCAGCGTAAATTCCTAGAGTATTTCAGATATGTTCCGAAAAATTCATGTTAGGAGATCTTACTACCAATTCTTCCTTTTCCATAAATATCCTCATTCTTGATAAGTTGACCATTATTCTCCATAAAAAGTTAATATTTAATAACATTGCTCAAGAGTTTAAAGACCTCAATTATGAGTAATAAACATAAGTTTTGTCTCGGGTCCAGGAGTTACGATTTCTGCACACAGTTCAAAGGGATAAGAAATTAGAAACAGAAAATTTCGGTCGGCTTTGAAGATTGCAGTATATCTTTTCAATATACTGTTCAACTTCAAAGACTTATTACAATAACTGATGAAATTCTGCAGAAAATTATCTATCTTTATGTTGTAGTCTGTGGGTGATCCTGTTTAGGCTTTCTTTTATACTATTCGGTGTTCTGCCGTTATTTTCACTTCTATGAAAACATGTTTCAAATGGATCCTCAAATTTCTTGACATAAGACTAATGCTATGGTTATTCTCTTCATTGAAACAGCTAAATGTGTTTGAGGTATTGTTAATGATTTTCATCGATAAAAAGTAATTATTTTGTGAGTTTTTGATAAAAGATAAATATCTTTTTTACTATTTTTAAATAATATATTGGGCTGCAATTTGAAAAAAGTTATAAAGCTATAAATACCCACTGTCATCCGTCCGTTTGTCTGTCATTCCTTAATCTCGAGAACGGTAGAGGAAAGTTTAAATCCTAGACCAGATATGGAAATCTTAAAGGCAGCAGGCCATATTGACTATATACGAACTTCCGATTTTCACCGGAAATTACATTATTTCAATTCAAAAATTTTCCCCTTAAAAGCTTTAAAAAATAAACAACTTAAAATTGAACATGGTACTGTACATAGTAATGACTCTGTAAGTGATTTATCTTAAATTATTAGCCTTTACAGTTTTAAGAAGTCAAAGATTATTGAAGATAGTATTCATTTTAATTAAAGCTATTATTGTCACAACGTAACTTCCACTTAAATAGAGAGAAAAATTACTTTAATGCCTATTCTTCATAATATTAAAAGAAAATATTTTTCTAATGAGGCGCTTCTTCAAGTAAATGAAATACTCAAATGTGTGAAACGAAATATGTAATGCTGTAATCAGTGGCATAACTACTGTTAAGGGCGTATAAACGTCGCTGAAGGGTCTATTACATAACGAAAACCCAGACCAGGCCTCAAGCACCGTTTCTAGGAACAGTATAAATATGAGAATTTTTTAAAATTAGGCCTATATAAGAAACATTAATATTTTTTTGTTTGTTCTGAATAGGAACGATTAATTTTAAATAAATTTATACCATTTTTACAGTTTATTTTATCCAATTATCCTTATCACTCCGCAACAATGCAATTTTCGATTAAGTGAAACTTGTATTAAAAATATTAATGGTCAAAAATCAATAAATGTATTACATCAAATTTCATTTCCAGAATTTGTGTATTTAGGGTTAAGATTAGTATTTATAAATAAATATTTAGTTAAACATTATGCAATACTTTTGTTTGTTAATTTGTTAGATCCCTCGGTGGTGATGTTTAAAATGAGCTACAATTTGTATATATTTGTTTAAACTGACATTTGTAAAATTTGAACACAATACGGAATTTTCAATGCAAATATACTGTTTTACCGTTTTCCTATCCACTCTTAATTCATGTATAGTAGTGCCCATAGAGCCCATTAACAGGACTGTAGATCGGGGGTTTCTTTTGCGTACATAAGACGTTATACGAATGTAAATTGAAGTACTGATTGACAACTGACTTCTGATCTATTGATACATAGCCGTGATTTAATTTTCTGGAGTAAGTAAAAATGTATTAATTGCTGCTCNTTGCAATTAAATTTTAGATTTAATTTTTCAAATATTTATTAAAATTTTATTTTTTCAACCATTAATTGCTTTTATTTTTTTAATTTTAGAAAAATTGGTTTATGAATTATTTTCTCAAATTATGTAAATTTCTGATTTATTCCCTTTGACAGATCGGATTAACCTATCTGATACTGTCTTACTGATTACTGTAAAAGTGTCAAAGATGATAATGTTTAATAGAATGTTTTTTGAAACATTCCAGAAATAATAATCTAGTTTTTATCTCAATTCTTTTTAAAATTTATTATATAAAAGTTTTAATTTATAAATCGGTTTTTAAAAGTTTTTTTATACTATAGCCTATATACAAGATTGTACAAAAGTCTAACCATTGTAAAAATTAATTTACTTACAAATTTTAGCAAAATCGTCTGAAAGATATCTTATTTTTCAATATGCCAATCAGTAGTTGAGTGGGTGAAACCATTGGTGTACTCATTATTTAGCTTTTTGGCAGAATTTAATTTTTTATCAACGTTTTCATGAGGCATTTACTGACTTTTTTTCCTGTTACTTTCGTTAATACTATACTAGTCGAGGATTCGCACTCGATCAATGGGTTGGTTTCGTGAAATTTTCCGTTTTCTTCTCGTGTTAGTATTTAAATAGGAGAAAGTTTCTCGCATGGCGTCCTCGTGGGAGACACCACCTCCCGTAGCAGATCGCCCTAATGTTTCTTTGCTTCATCCTGTTAATTAAATCCAATCCAGTGGTTGCAATGCTTTGACGTACTTTTACAAATTTATCGACTTTCTTGCAAAAATTGCTGATTTGCTTGCAATCAACACGGTTAATTGACTTTTGGATCATCCTGTATATATGTTTTGTATAAGCTCTGTCACGATTTATAAATAATTTCAATTTATTTAGGTATATTTACAATTCTAACCGAAAAATTCTACTTTATTGTTGAGTCGCAATATAAACAATTATACAATTTGAAGTTTGATCTTTCCTTGCGGGCACTAAGAATGCCTTTTTAAATCATGGCAATCGACGATTCGGCCATGCCTACTATGTGGCAGCCGAATGGTGAGGGACGAGGTCAAACATATCCCGGACGAATCGAATCCTTGAAAAATTCCCGAGGAATTGCTCGCCCGGATTCGATCTCAGATCCCCTAGAACGATAGGATGAAGTCTTAGGCTACGTTCAGACAAGTTCTTCTTACATTTTGTCTAGCAAATTAAATAAGGCATTATTTGCCTTAAATAACACTTTTTTTGATCAGCTAGATGTAACGTATTGAAACGTAACACGAGAAGGCCTGTCTGAACGCCTCCTCGCCATTCCGCCATTTATATTTTAATTTTTTTAAAAATTTCTGTTGAAATTATCCAAATATTTTTCATCTAATTTGTCATTTTACATCTTGTAGTAGACATAAATTAATTTTTTTTTACATTTATATAATGGTCGTCAATATATGATTTACACACTATACAATTTTTTTATTCGTGTACTTGAAGATAAGTGAGAAATTTTTCCCTTTAAATTAATTGGACTGCAATTTTCAAATTGGGGACCTATGCATTACCACTGTCGTTTGTCCCTTGTTAATTTCAAGCACGGAGTTAGATAGATAAAGTTCGAGAATAGACATGGAAATTTTAGGTGCCAGAGACCCGATTAACTACATACGATCTAGACAGGAAGCCAGGTAATTTGTTTTTAATTAAAAGATGATTAAAAATTACAACCCGGCATTGTGACCATGTCACAATAATAATCACTCGTTATGAGTAATTTTCTATTAAATAATATTAAAATTAGTTATGATCAGAGCATTTGTCACCAGGGTTAAACTTAAATACGGCGCCGTTCGGATAAGCCTTCATTAATCTGTTACAAATTTAAAAACCATTAAAAAAGTACTGTTTATTAATACAATACATTTTATATTTCAATATTACAAAAAAAGTTCCAAAATATAATTTAAAAAGTCGCATTTTTAACACATTAACAATTCATTTCTGGAAAATTTTGAAAAACAGTTCATAGAAATATATACAAGTCACGTAATAATATATTATAATTTTTTATGTATGAGACAGTTTTCTATTTCAATTTTGTAATTTTGGCGCCCTGGGCACGTGCATCGTCTGCCCCTATTTTTCCACGGCCCCGATTACGATTTATTAATGATATGCATGATATATTTTATTAATCGAAATAATTGGATATAAAATTAATGTAATTATAATTAAAACCAAAATTTTTTGATATAAAAACACTATTTATATTCTAAAAATAGTTTCAAATTCTTGGCATAAATATATTTAATTAAGGAAAGTTATGGACAGCACCAGAATTACTAAGAGCAATTAATGCAGCACCTGAAGGAACTCAGAAAGGAGACGTCTATTCGTTTGCAATTATTGCTTATGAAATTGTTGGGCGCCAAGGACCTTTCTATGTTGGAAGAATCGAATTAAGTCCAAAAGGTAAAAGTACTTCCGTTCACTTATTATAAGATTTACTTTGTTATTAGCAATATTTGTGCGGAATAAACTCAATTTTCTAGATATTAACAATGATTTTCTACAATTTTTCTTGTATAATGTAAATAGCTGAAACAAATCACAATTTATTTTTTCTATTATTAAACTTTTAAAATAAATAATCTAACTGATTTTATATGTTTAAAAATATAAAACTGTTTAAAACGAAAACCTTCCAAACCCGAAATAATATTCGAATACAGTGCGATTCCGGTTTACACAGGTTTTACTATATTGAGGCAATACTCTACTGGGCAGTATTTGAGAAAGTTTAATTTTTTCCAATTATATACTCTAAAATATTAAATTCTTGTATATTATAAAACTAAAATATAGTAAAATTTAAGTATTATTATGTAAATTATTATATATTTTTAATCTTATCTACTATAACTATATGATATAATAGATTAAGTTACACTTAATTATACAGAGTAAGCAGACTTTTTATTCTTTTACTCAAGACTAAAAATTTTAATTAAGTGAATTTCGTGCATTTTAAGGAGATTTTTAAAAGAATGTTGATTACACACGACTCAAAAAAATCAGTTAACCGAGTTCAGTTTTTAATATTATTTAATTAAATCCAGCTTGGAAGAGATACATATTATTATTCGTCATTAAGTAACTTCTGAAGAAGGATTGAATTATGAATAATAACAATGCCATTCTAGCCATTTAACCATTCTAGAAACAATAAAATATATCTTAGGTTAACTGATTTCTGGACCATCCTGTATTCGATAAGTTCGATAATCTGTTAGTATCGGATATATTTTTTGAATAGTATAATTTATTTAAAAAATAATAGATATTTAGGCATGAATAATTAATCAGAGACATTAATATCACTTAATATATATCAAATGAACCAACATCATATTTAAATTAATAAATTTTTAAACTAATTAGTGGTAAGGGCTATCTTCCAAATATACTTAGAAAGCTACATAAAGGAGTGTATATTGTATGACTTATATAAAGCTATTTTATGGAATTTAAACAACATTTTCACTTCAAAGTCAAAGAAAATGAGTGGAAAAACTTCTAAAATATTTGAAAGTATTTATACATTAGCCATTAAAGAAGTGAAATCGCATTTGTAAATTGATAAAAACAGTTAAAGAAATTTATATCATAGATTTCTTTGCATTTAATGCGTTTATTTAAAACGTATATGTATTTTTCTTTCAATGTCTGTAAAACAAATAATTATTTTCTAAAATTTACAAAAATTGGAGAGAGAGTAAAATTGAGTGCCTTCACATTTTATCATATTCTACGTCTCAGGAACATAGTCTTTCCCCAAGTAGACCATTATCTTCAGTCTCTCATTCTCCTCAATATGGAAAATTTATTATTAATATTTCTCTTCTAATTGTATCGTCTCTAGAGGAAAATTTTTAAAAATAGTTTTGCGTATTGAGGTGGATGACAGATTCTAGATCTCTCCGCGCAGAGACTTTGTTTCTAAGATACTGATATTAGCATCGAAGAAAAACAATTGGTTGGTTCAGAATAGAAGGAAAGAGAAGAAAAAGAAGAAAAGGACAGATTAAACTAAGAAGGAAGCATCGGGTCCGATCTGACCAGATATGGAGTAGAAACAACAACCGGTTTACAGTGTGGTTGGATTTTAAAAGTTTACAGTTTCTCATGCAAGAGAAGGCAAAGATTCCCGACAAGAGGAGGAAAAGCCTCTTCGTTCCTAACAAAAGAAGCAGCCAGACAATTGAAAACAGCAAGAAAATTATTCCCGAGATGTAGAAAAGGACAAAATGTGAAAACACTTTTAGCGTTTCTTCTATTATTGCAGACTTTAAGTTATATTGATTGTCCTGGAGTTTAGTGTCATTATTATTATTAATTACAAGTAATTAGCTACTGAAAGGATTTGTTGTTAAGTTAACCTTTAAAACAAACTTTATAATTCATATTGATGAAATTTAAGTTATGTAAATTCCGTTGTCAAAACCAGAAAGAATTAAAAATCTTATAAAAACAGTATTTTTTTTAGAGAGAGAATTTTAAAAAAATACGGCAAAATTTTTACATTAGATCTATCATATAACACGCATCTTGTATAATATCAATTGTTAAAATTAGACGTTATAGGCCAACAAGACATCAAATTTCCTTTAAAAAATTAAATGAAAAAAAAGAACTATTTTCTTTTTAATAATTGAAATTGCTTATTTTTTAATAATTATTTTTTGTATAATGTGGTCCAAAGGTCAGTTAATTCAGATATATTTTTATGGTTTAGCTCTTCTTTGAGAACTACTAAATTACCAGCATGATACTTTAAAAATAAATTTCGGTTAACAAACTTTTGGGCCATCCTGTATACGTAAATGTAACATGTTAATAGCAATTTATTTTTTTTTTTTTTAAATGGAAAATGTCAATTTATTTATAAAATTTTATAGAAATTGTCGAAAGAGTTCTTAGCGGTGTGAAACCAGCATTCAGACCATTTCTGGAAGAGGGTATTTGCGACGAAGAAGTAATGACGATGATTAAAAGATGTTGGGCTGAAGATCCTTTAGAGAGACCAGATTTTCACGCTCTTAAATCAATTATAAGGAGATTAAACAGGTAATATAAAATCAAATTTCGTATAGAAAGGACGTATATTTTCCTACATTTTAAATTATTATTATTAATGGTAAATCGTAATGATGATAATTAAATTTAAAAAAAAAATGGATACGATCTCATTTGCAATAAAATTAAATTATTAAATATATTACAATGGTAATAAATAAAATACTTTGAAAGTAAAATAATAAAAGATAAAGTTGAAAAATATTCAAAAATTTGATTTTAATAAGAATAATTTTTCATTTCTCATTCAATTCAAAGAAGAAAAACATGCAATTTTCAATAATCAATATTTCTCTACATCTATTTTCTTTCTAAATATAAAAAAAAAAAATTCAATATAAGGAAAGTATTGTGAAGTTATAATTTGTTCTAGAGCTATAATTCCCATTTCTTCACATATAATTCATCATCAAATGTATTTATTGTATTTGTGCAGTATGTAATATTTATCTAACATTGTTATTATTTGTGAAAAATTGCTTTCTTTTGACCATTAGAAAATATCGATGAAAGATTTATCATTAAATCTTTTTCTCAATTATATACTACGAAAAAGTTTCAAATAACATAACAAAAAAAAAATACTTTACAGATAATATTACATTTTTATATGAGAAATTTTAAAAATTAATTTCCTATTCTTTCTATAATTTAAGAACAATTCTTTATTTTCTTTCTTCTATAATTGGGCTGCAATTTTTAAACTGTAGACTTATAAGTTAGATTCCAACTGTCGTCTGTTTATCTGACCTTCTTTAATCTCGAAAACGTAGTTAGATGAAAATTGAGACAAGAATTAGGACCGGATTAACTATGTACGAACTTCCGTTGTGGACAGGAAGTCACGTAATCTTTTTAAGATTATTTTTAAAAATTGTATTTTGGCATTACGACGATGTCACAATAAATAATTGCTCGTTTTATTTAATAAGGTTCGCAAAATTCAATTTTGCATTTACTTTTACTTTTTTTTTTACAAATTTTCCTTTTAAATATTGATCAAATTACTTCTAAAAATAACTTATTGATTGCAAGATTCAAATAAACAATTTAATTTTTTTTTCCTTATTTATTACGTGTCCTGAAGATCTTTGAAACGTAAATTCTGTTATAACAAATGTTGCAATTACTCATGAACTTCTAAAGTTAATCTAAATTGAGGTTATTTTTATCGCATTATATAGCAAAGTGTATTTTTATTATTTGTAGCGATTTAAACAAATTCTTCTAAACAACTAGAATGAATATTGAATTTATAGAAAATGCAAAAAAAAAAATCACCGAAAATAACAAAAATTTACACAATAGACAAATTCTTAAATTCAAAGTCATAACGTCATTGTTTTTCTTAACAAATAAAGACAATACATCATCATCAGCCACATTTTATCCAGAACATAGGTTTGTCATCATTGCTTCATTTTTTTGTTTTTTTGGTCAATCTCATCAACTGTTTTCTTAGTTTTCTGTCGAGATCATCTTGTCATCTTCATCTTAATCTCCGTCTTTTTCTCTTCCATTCTCTGGCAGTCATTTCGTTAGTCTCTTTCTTTACCTTTTATTCATTATTTTTCCAACGTGTTCTTGCACATTTCTATTTGTTCTGTCTTATCGCTTTTTTTCTTATAAATTTCTTTAAAAATCTTTATTAAATTTACAATTTATCTGAATTAAAATTCAATTGTAAATTTATTTTATTAATAATATATTTTTTATAGTAGGGCTAAAGCTCCTTACTTCCACTGTTTATGCCTGTGTATCCACTAACATAACCAGTGAGATTCAGGGGCTGTATTTTTGTTTTACATTAAAAAACTGATAATAGTAATTAATATAGCTTATACATTAATGAAATATTATATTATTTACGTTCATTACTCTATATTTTATTGTTTCAAAGAGTAAGCAAGTAAATTTATACAGTTTCTCTTCTAATTGAACTGTTGAAGAGTAATTTGTAAGAGAATTGGAATAAATTAGTAATAATAGAAATTTAAATATATTTTAAAAATAAAAATTAAATAGTTTAAAGTAACGCTTAAAGATATTTAAGAGGATATATGAATTTTAATTTAATTTAATTTTAATATTTTACAAAAGCATAAAGTAACTTAATTACATTAATTTAAATTTGTAAAATAAGTTAAATGATAAATGTTGCAGAATTAAAAAGTTCGTTTAAATGAAAGAATCTTTATAAAATCATTTCGAAAAGATTGTAAAATTTTTAAATCTTTCATTTACATGAAAAGTGTGTTTCTAAGTCTTGGAGTTTGCAATCGATCGTTATTATACTTTCATTGGGATCATCAATGCATCATTCTTTGCTAATATCCGTTAAAATTCTGATTTTTCAAGATGATAATGGTTTCAGATAATGCTATTTACTTAGTTTTCAACTTCTTTCAAAATCTTTAGAGAGTTCATATATCATTTATATATAAAACAGACAATTAGACTTAACCAAGATTTCCTCAGAATTTCTGTTAATGTCAATAGAATCAGATAAAGAATAACAAAGACTTATCAATATCCTTTTCTTTATTTATATGTAGAGATAACTAATGAAAATCTATATTTTTTAAATATCTAACTAAACCAATAAGTAAATTTATTCGTTTGTTTTTAACATGGTGTGTACATTACAGAATTTTATTAAAATTCATACTGTTTTAATTCGTGAATATAACTCTTACGGAATCTTTTTGTGTGTTTTATTTTCGTATTATGTAAGAAAATTATTCAGTGTTACCTATTGTCTTATTTAAGAATAAACATTTTCTCTAAACATCATGAAACTTCTAGTTACTATTCAATTTTTCAAAGATTCTTTCAAAATTCTGTTAAACCTTCTGCAATTTGAAAAAATTTTAGACCTATAAATTGTCACGGTCGTCCGTCCGTCCGTTTTTCCTTAATCTTGATAAAAAGAACCAGATATGAAAACCTTAAGAGCAGGAGGTCCCGATTAATTATATACGAACGTCCGATACAAACCGAAAGTCATCTTATTTCAATGCAAACGTTTTCCCCTGAATGTTGTTAAATAGATGACCAGCACGACTCTATTGTTAAAAGAAAAGTATGATGTACAGGGGCAAGCCACTACTAATATGAGGTGGAGAGCATATATTTTAAGTTAAATAAATTAAATTTTCCAGCGCTTCTTTTTAGTAGATAAAAGCAATATCACCCCAAACGAAGGTATGATGGATGCAAGAAAGACGTCAGAATATCACCAGTTCCTTTTTAGAAATTATTTGTAATTTTAATTGGATATATATTTTGTGTTTTTTAAAAGGACTTTTTAAACTTCTGGCAACAAGTAGCCTAAAAGGTCAGTTGCCAAGAATGTGTATTGTCTGGAACACAGAAATAATAAATGGTGGTCCTTTTTGGGCAGACTGTCTTCAATTTTATTAAAAAATAATCTCCATCTGACGAAAATTTACAGATAAATTAAAAATATGATTAAAAATTGCAGCCTGGCATTGTGACCATGTCACAATAAATAATTTTTCGTTAGAAATTGTATTCCTACTCATATTTTAGGAGTGAAAAGGGCATCAAAGATATCACTGGTAGAGACTGAAAAGTATTAAAGGTTGCTGTTGATTCCGTACGATTATGAATGTGTGAATTAGACGATATTGATATTTGAGAACAATGTTTGTTTAAAAAAAATTTCGTTTTTGCATTTCAGATAACATAGTATAAATTATAAACTAAAGAAATTATAATTCTCCCTGTTATAAGAGTAAAATCGACTGATATATAATAGAAATTTGGGTTAAGTAGACAAAAATTTCTGAGTGTGAACTCGTAAGACATTTATATAATGTAAAGCACGTACCACACGATATTTGATTTGTGTAATGTCTATGAACCTATCTAGTACTGGATTTCAAGTATTGGATCAATACCAATTATCGACATGGTGGTTGTTAAGCATAGTATCCTAGGCATTACAGTTATGCTTAAAACAGCCTCTGCTATAATATTTAAGCAATCTTTTTAAATTGTATTTAGGAACTAGGAGCTCTAGCTTCGACTTAGGTAGGAAATTTTCCTATATGATAATGAGATGAAGTCATTTATTTACTGTTATATATAATTGCACTCTCCGTTAATAATTTTATTTATAAAATTAAAGTACTGTATTTGAATAGTGAAATTATATTAAAGCTATCTAATTTTTAATCATTTGATTATAGATTTTTAATTTTTACCATTTAATCGTGTTTTTGTATTATTTAAATTATATTTTTAATGTTTACAAAATATATATATTAATTTTACGAATCTAAAAGGTAGATGGAAAGAATACATTTATATATAAAAACAATTCTAACTATTCCAATACTTCTTAAATGATTATAATAATACCAATTTCTGAATGTTCCAGTTAGTAGACCCATTAACTTGCTGCTCTAAAAAGGCCATAGTTCGTGTCAAAGTNAATAGAAATTTGGGTTAAGTAGACAAAAATTTCTGAGTGTGAACTCGTAAGACATTTATATAATGTAAAGCACGTACCACACGATATTTGATTTGTGTAATGTCTATGAACCTATCTAGTACTGGATTTCAAGTATTGGATCAATACCAATTATCGACATGGTGGTTGTTAAGCATAGTATCCTAGGCATTACAGTTATGCTTAAAACAGCCTCTGCTATAATATTTAAGCAATCTTTTTAAATTGTATTTAGGAACTAGGAGCTCTAGCTTCGACTTAGGTAGGAAATTTTCCTATATGATAATGAGATGAAGTCATTTATTTACTGTTATATATAATTGCACTCTCCGTTAATAATTTTATTTATAAAATTAAAGTACTGTATTTGAATAGCGAAATTATATTAAAGCTATCTAATTTTTAATCATTTGATTATAGATTTTTAATTTTTACCATTTAATCGTGTTTTTGTATTATTTAAATTATATTTTTAATGTTTACAAAATATATATATTAATTTTACGAATCTAAAAGGTAGATGGAAAGAATACATTTATATATAAAAACAATTCTAACTATTCCAATACTTCTTAAATGATTATAATAATACCAATTTCTGAATGTTCCAGTTAGTAGACCCATTAACTTGCTGCTCTAAAAAGGCCATAGTTCGAGTCAAAGTCGAAACTTCGAAAATTTTCATGAATGGTTTCAGCTATGTTTGATCATTTTTCCTCTTCCTTTCTTTGTGGACCTGATTACATCAATGATGAAATTGTAAAATTAACATATTTTTAAAACTACTCTGCGAGTACAAAGATACCTTTATTCATTTTACTTTCCCGGCAACGTTTAAAACTACGTGTAGCACTATGTAATGCTATTTTATTTTTAATTACTATAAAATGTCAAAAAGCTTAATTTTGAGGGAAGGACGGGTTTTATAAAAAAAAAAAAAAATTGTAAATGCTAATAACAAGTAAAATCGTGATTAAGACCGATCCTGCTCGAGATACGACACACGACTCCCATTTATTTCCTCGCCCAGTCGACGTATAACCACAGCATCAATTCCCTAATACAAAAACCTCATTGCAAAATTTCAAAAATTTTCGACAAAAAACACAGAAGTTATTAAGCATCAAACAGGATGAACAAAATCGTTCCCTCCACACACATTAACATCCATACATACGGAAGAAACTTTCGCTGAGTCCAAAAATCTAAAAATTTGGGGTGGGGAATCATTTTTTGATCCTTTGCCATACTTTTCCTGTTTTACATAAGATAAGAGCCGGGAAAGTAAAATGAATAAAGATGTCTTATTATTCTCATATTAGTTTTTTCTAATCTTATTTATAGAATTCGTAATGAGGATGATAACGACCATCTTATAACGTTTTGTTTTGTAGAATCTAAAAAATTCACGACCCTTTTCTTTGTGGAGTGTTTTTTTTTCTTTCTTTCAGCAGACATGAGATATAAACACAAACATTGCTATACCTTATATATAATAAGAGATGAACTAATACTATTGAGTACAAAAGCAATAAGAAATCAAGAATTCCATTCGGGAATTTCTGTCGTCATAAATTACTCATGTATACAAAAAGTTAAACATATTTATCCCTTTGAGACATACCACAAACAAATAACAATCATCGAATTATTGATATAGAATAGTCTAAAGTTGAATTCTGTATATTTATTCTTAAAAAAGAGAAAAATTAATAAATTATTATTATTTATTTTTTAACAGAATTAATGAGAGTTATGTTGAACGTATGAAATTAAAATTTCGTGTTAAATTTAACAATAAGTTAATTATAAAAAGTAATACACAGGAAAAGGCTGGCCCAAAATTCACTTAACGCAGCGTATTTTAAACTGAATTTAACCGCCTTTAAAACATACATTTCGGTTAACTGATTTTTGGGACCTTTTTTTAAATAAAAAGAAATAACTTCAGGTGTTTCCTGAATATCGAAACTAATTATTCATTCGTGTAATTAAGTAAAAAAAAATGTTTGTTTAATTATAGAGAAAATGAACGTAGTAACATATTGGATAATTTACTTTCACGAATGGAACAATATGCAAATAATCTAGAAGCATTAGTGGAAGAAAGAACTTCAGATTATCTGGAAGAGAAAAGGAAAGCCGAAGATCTCTTGTATCAACTTTTGCCAAAGTATGTAAGAGAACTAACTTTGTTTCTTATTGAATGAATTTATGAAAATTTATATTATTAATCTCGTATATTCTCTATAGATCTGTGGCCAGTCAACTTATAAAAGGAGAATCAGTAACTGCCGAAGCATATGATAGTGTAACGATATATTTTAGTGATATTGTAGGATTTACAGCTTTATCAGCTCAAAGCACTCCAATGCAGGTATGATTTATTAATTGTCAACTATACAAAATTGCGGATGATGCGAAAAATAATCATTTTTAATCGTTTTTATAATCTATTAAAATTATTAAATAGAATAAAAATGAAAGCTATAAAGTAATAATTTTAAAGAAATTAATAAATAATTTGTAAATGGTTACAGGTAGTTGATTTTCTAAACGATCTCTACACGTGTTTCGATTCTATCATCGAGAGTTTTGATGTATACAAAGTAAGAAAATAATTTTTTTTTTTAATTTTATACAATTAAAATTATTATTTTCAATTTAAATATATTATTTAAAAATTAAGTTTTTCATTTTATGTTATTGTTGTATTTGTTTTATGTATATTTGTTAATTTGTTTCGGGGTTAGATAACAATTGTCCTTCTATTTACTTTTAAAAATAAATAAATAAAATTCGAATACGAAAATTTAATTTAATTTAAATCCTATAAAATTATTAAATATTTTCCTTTTCTAACGAGATATATAGTTTTATTTTTAAAATAAAATTTATCTTCCTCCACAAAATGAAAGTTTAATACGAAATTGTTTCAATTTATCTGTTAATAAATTGTGAAAATTTCGTACACTGTTCATAATTATTTTAATTTAAAGAAATACAAAATTCAGAAAGAAATAGTTTTTGAAAGTTTCAAAATTTTATTTTACGCATTATTAGAAATATATATTATAAAAATGTCAAAAAATATATTCGTTTATCCATCAATTTTTCCAAGTTTTTAAAGTTTTCTTTGGCTTTACTTTCGAAATTGAAATGGAAACTGAGAAAACTTTTATGCAAAGAAACAAATTCGCTAGTGATGACAATTTGATTGAAAAATGCAACATTTTATACTTTCCAGCGAATTTTTATCCTAAAAGTAATTTTAGATTCTTTATATTCCTTTCTATTTCAATAGTTTTTCTTGCTGTTGATTTATTTTACGTGCTGAAATTAATAAAAATTAATCATTTCTTTTATTTCTAGATCTTAAGTAATAAAAGTGTCATTATACTTTATCTTAAATGGTTTAGAATAAAATTATAATCTGATGCAATTTATTATCCTTTGTTTTTATTTATAAAGAGAAAAGTTTCATTTAAATGAGATTTTAGGACGCATTTCTATTTGATAGTCTTTCAGAATATCTTGTTTATAGTAATATATATAGGGCCTATATGTATTACTATAAAATAAATATATATATATATATACACACATATATCCCAATTAATTATTTTCTGAAATATATAGAGTTTAAAAAGTATTATATATATTGAAGCACATCTCTATGTGAAAAATGAAATTTACTTGAGGCAAAGACATATTTATGATAAGTCCTGTTTAACAAAAGTTTTTGAAATTTATATTTCCTGCTTCTCTGTTACGAAACTTAAATATTGTGCAGATAATTCTAAACTTATCTGCAGTAAGAAATAAAAAAAACTATGTAATTTTTGAGGGAAAAGTATTCAAGAAGTGTATTTAGATGCTGAAAAAAATCAAAAGTATAATTATGTAGACACACAAATAATTTCTTCTCTTATATTCAGAGATAGATAATAAATAGATTAAGAAGATTTGTGTGCTTACAATCGATAATAAATAGGCGTATTATTAATTGTTCTATTGCTAATATATTATTTGTCGACAAATAGAAAGCCTTTACAGAGAAAAACGAATCTATAAACAGCTGTCAACGAAAACAAAACTTGTATAGTGAATATAGTTATGTTTACTACTGCATAGTATGTTTGTAAGCACTAGCAGTAAAATAGAATGTAAGATAAAATATCGTAGATCCTTTTGAAATGTGGTGTTATCGGAGATCGATAAAAGTTTCTTCTATATAAACAAAATAACTAAATACGCAAGATTTTTAGGAATAAGGTCAGAAGAATATTCTTGTAAGTTAGTGCTTGAAATTATTCAAACTGATTTCTAAGGATTGATAAATGTTTATTCAAGAATTATAGAGTGGATAGTAGTAATATAGACATACAACAAAATGTAGATACTGAAAAATTACTAAAATTTGGCCCTCTTGGAACCAGCAAGAGCGTAGTAAATTAGTAGTAGAAATAGAGATAAAGATGATTTAGTAGACTGAAAGTAATCGTACTTTATGATTAGATTAGAATTTTTTATATTATTGAAATAGAATTCGCTTCTTTAAATGTGAAATTAGCGAGATAAAGTTCTGTCATTTAATTAATCTTTAATATTAATAAATATAAAAATAATTAGTTTCATTATTTAATGATGAATTACTTCAGAATATATGTCTTTGTTTAGTATTCACCGTGTTTGTATCTTTAGTAATTTATTAAACATTTTGTGTCGTATGCCTCTTTTATAGTTGTTTTATTGATTACTGGGTTAAAAGTGCAACTTGGGATTACCGGGACTTAATTAGCGTTAATTTGTTGTTAAGTCATGTTAATACCTGCTTCAGAAAATGCCATGTGTTATGAAAGTTTCGAAACTTTCTAATTTAATTAATTAACATTAACATCAGGGTGATATAAAATAATTTTTTAAAGAAATTTTATGTACGATTTTAATATAATTAATTTGATTTAATAAATTACAAATATGTACGGAATTTATTTCAGGTCGAAACAATAGGGGATGCGTATATGGTTGTTTCCGGTTTGCCTGTAAAAAATGGACTCCTTCATGCTAGAGAAATTGCCAAAATGTCATTAGCGTTATTAAATGCTGTAAAAACGTTTAGTATACGACATAAACCACAAGAACAATTAAAATTAAGAAGTGGTATACATAGTGGTAAGTATTTTCTTTTATCAAATACAATGTTTGGAAGATCAAACTAATCTTTAAAAATTGTTTTATAATAATGGCCGAAATTCAGTTAATTGAGATATGTTTTAAGAACTTTACTCGTGATTTTATGAATCATAAATTATAATATGCAGATGTTCTAAACAGATTTTTGGATATCAGTAATATTCAAAAATTTCTGCAACAAGATTCTGAGGATGTCGAATCCTCAGAACTTTGTTGCAGAAGAATCACAACAAGGTTCTGAGGATTCGCCATCCTCAGAACCTTTTTTGTGACTCTTCTGCACGTGTGAAAGCCAAATTGAAATCAATTCCTACAGATTTATAATATAGTTTCTTTTTCTTAAAGTAAAAATTATCTTATAAAACATATTGCAATATATATAGATCATTTGGTAATTTGAAGATACAGAAGTTTAAAAGATTATACTTAAATAATTTTGAACGGAATTTCGAAAATAAATTGTTTATAATGACATTTTATTTAATTTTTATTAGGACCTTGTGCTGCAGGTGTCGTGGGTCTGAAAATGCCTAGATATTGCTTATTTGGAGATACTGTTAATACTGCTTCTAGAATGGAATCGACCGGGTTACGTATGTTAATTTACACAACTTTTTATTTAAATTTTGCTATAATTTTTAACATCAATTGTTGCTATATTTTTGTCTTCAATTCGTGTTTTATTTTTAAAATATGCCTCTAGTATAAAATGTTTACAATTTAATATAGACTATGTTCATACATTTCAAAATATTTAAGGTTTATTATTGAGACGGAGCCTCTTCTATGAGGCTTACAGAATTGTTTTCGTTCTTGAAATCTGTTCGCTCGATTTTGATTAAACTTTTGGATTCGTCGTCTCAAATAATAGAAAATGGAAAAAAGTGTAATGAAGGTCCATTTAAATAGAGTGAAAATAAAGATTTATGGGTTTTTCGATATACAGAGAGGTTAAACTGACAATGCCCGTGCTCTCATGCGACTGAGCCTGTCTAATGGAATTTAGGCCTTAGGGGTCAAAAATAAAAATAGCATAGCGTGCGCCTACGGGAAAATAGGCGCAAAAAAAACGAACAAAACACAAAAACAAAGCAATTGACGAGGATTGTTTTGTTCTTGGATCGCCTCTTCTGTGCAGGGATCACTTCTTTCCTGCTCCACCTCAACTCTAGTTAAAACTCTAGTCTTTGAATCTTTACGCTGTTATTTTTCTTTTATTTATGTACATAAAATTGTATCATTAGGCAGAAATATATTTTAAATAATGTGTGTGTAACCTAGTTATATACATAACTATCTTGCCACTGGTTATCGTATAAATATATAATATTTATTAATATAGTAGCCCCTTCGTTATTTCGCGCTTGTCGGGAGACAAAGAAAAAGTGCGATATAACGAGGGGCTACTATATTTTATTTTTTAAAAATCTTTAAAGAAAGGCATAAAAATTCAATATAAAATGTTATTTTATAGATAATTTTAAAGTATACACATCTATAATGATTACTTGTAAGAAGATATCCTGTTAAATTTCAATTTAATTTCTCAGAAAAATATTTAAAATTTTCAGCTTTAAATATTCACGTTAGTTCAAAAACTAAAGAAATTTTGGATTCTTTCGGATGTTTTGATATACAGTTACGAGGAGAAATTGAAATGAAGGTAAGATAAAAGAGATTTTTAAGTATTTTATAACTTATACTGTACTAAAAATTGTATTGTGCTTGTTAACAGGGGAAAGGACTGGTTACGACTTATTGGCTATTTGGAGAGAAGAAAGAATGTGATACACACTTGAAAGAAACTAACATATAAAAAGCTAGTTTAATCACTTCATTCAATCAAAACTGAAACCGTTTAGATCAGAGAATGATCGTCCAAGGTCTGTTCACAATTAGATGATGGAAAAAAATTTCTTCTACCTCAGTGAGTGGACAATTCTCACTGCAGCTTGTGCCTTTCATTGGAAGACTGTTCAATATGATCTAGAGAATTTTTCTTTTCGATTCGAAAGAAAAAAACTTATAACAATACAAGACAATATTAAACAAAATTGAACTCTCTGCACAAGAAAAAAAAATTAAATTATTTTAAACGAAGATAATAGTTTAATATAAGTTAAATAATTTATTAGAAAATCTTCACTCGTAAAATAAAATTATGTATAATAATTAAATATATTTCAATTATTAGAAGCGATAAATTCATGCTATGAAAAATTTCCTTTAAAGTTTATATTTCCTAATTAAACAGGCAATCCTGCTTTTATTTAAAAAAAATAAAAACTAAGAAAATAATTCACGTATTTACTGGAAACTTTATGAAAAACATGCAGCAACGCATTGATATGTGCCTGACAGAAGGCGGAGGTCACTTCCAATAATTATTTTTAAAAAAATCATCGTGTAATGAAGTTGAAGCAGGCGAGCGATACATTTACATAACACTTTTTCCCATTAAATTCATATCAGTAATAATAATAATGTATAATAATTCGTGTATTAATAAAGTCATGTTATATCTATAAATGATTTCTATACTTTTCAATTAATATTTCTCACCTTAATTACAGAAAATTGGACTGTAACCTTCAATAGTAGGTAATGGCACCTTAATTAAATCTACAACAGCATACTTTCTTGAATGATCCTAAAATAGACTCTTTGAAAATTATAGAATAATAAAATTCTAGAACAAAACTATAAAAATTCCTAAAATGTTTAAACATCAGGATAATATCGAAAAAACTTATAGAAATTCCGGAAAAACAAGCCTTCAAAGAGGTCTCGAAGGTTGTTCTTCAATTTCTATAAATTCTTGTCATATTTTCAAAGTTTTAATCATTAAAAAAAACTGTATTTTAATTTAAAAAATTTGAAAATTTATATAAAAATATTAAGAAATCATTAACTGTACATTAAAATTATTTATTTTTATAGTTTACACAATTAAATACAGATATAGAATTTGTATACTACATAACAGTACATATATTTCTCTGATGTATTCGTAATGGTTTCAATATACAATACACTTTTTCAGTTCGATGAATTCGGCCTTTTTATAAACTTTGACTTCCAGTTTTACTTTTCGTCTTACTATATAAATATATAAGCATAAAACTTTTAAACTATAATTTTCAATTATATAATTAATATTTATATACATTGTATAATAATCAAATAAAAATAAATTATAAGTTTTAAAATAAAATTATATTAATAATAATAGTACACGAATATCTAATTATAAGTATTTTTGTTTAATTATTATTATATTTCTGATTAATATCAGTTTTTAATACAGGATGTTCCCCTCAAACGCCCCTAGTTTTGTGGATTTATTGAGAAACGAAACGTGAGTATAGTGTTGTAGACAATGATTATAAAAAGTGCATCTGAAAAAGTTAGTTGCTACATAAATCAGTGTATTCCCCCATATGCTCTTGACGTAGCATGTACGATATCCGGTCTGTACTTGATTTTAGCTCAAGTCCGAGCCAGCATTTTAGAAGCCATGCTGTTAATGTCATCCTTGATTCATGTACGAAAGTCTCTCATGCCTGGCACTTTCGTAGCATACACGCGATCCTTGACATGCCTACAAAGAAATAAGTTCTTTGTAGGTATGTCAAGGATTGTGTGTATGCTACAATAGTGCCAGGCATGAGAGACCTTCGTACATATGTCAAGTGTCGAGGAATCAAGAAATGGGGCCCCAGCAGATGGCTGGAGCCCCATTTCTTGGTCCCTCGAGATTAAGCTAAATTTAAATATTCCAATATAATGACCAACATTCTCCAACACATTTTATCACATATCTGAAAAAAATGGATTTTACAGAACAGTTAAAACTAGGGATGTTCGAGAGGAACAACTTGTGTATTTAAAAGAAAAAGTGCCAGCAATTTTAAACAGAATATTTCGATGGATCATTACGTAAAACGTTACTTAACTCAATTAGAATAATCATATTTGTTTATGAGCAGTAAAATTTCAAGTGTAAGAAGAAAAATTGAATTGTTCTGAAATTTTATAATTTATTTCTGTTTATAAAACTCACGTAAGCCTGTTGATTCCATTCTGGATGCTGTATTGACCGTGTCACCAAATAAACAATACCTTGGCATTTTTAATCCAACAATTCCAGCAGCACAAGGACCTGAAAATTATTAATAATTTAATTATCCGACGTTCATAATGCATATTATAAAACTGCATATTAAATTATAATTCAAGAATCTATTAAGTACTTATGGAACAAGAAAAGCATTTGCAAACTATGGAGAAAGGCATCATTTAGTGCTATACAATAACCTATAAAATTTTGGGCAGTTAAAGAAGAGTGGCAAAACATTGACGAAATTATACGACACCTGTTTGCAAACAGAAAAAGAATTTTTAAATTACATTATAATTATCTTGAAGCCATTTATTAATGGTGGAACAACTAATGATATAAAGTAAGCGACATAAAGTTCATTTTTTAATTGCAATGTCTTCGTGAATGAATTGAATATGAAAGACACGTCTGTGGTTTTTTATTTCTTTTAATTATTCTCATTGAGAAACTACATAAAGAAAACCATCGCTCATATTATAATTTACCAATTTTCTATCATTTTTTTTTCAATAAGAATGTCGTAAATATTAACCAATTTATTTTGAATAAATTGAAAAACATAATAGAATATTTTACTTACATTATTCAACAAACATATAAAGCAATTTTATTTTAAATTCAATTATTATACGAATATTTATGAAANAGAAGTGAAGAAAACCCGACAAATGTCCTTTGGTCGGTGCGAACCCGCAATTCACTCGTGTTCAGTGTTCAGTGACCCACTCGGCCACTGGTAGGAAGAAGAGGAGAAATAGTGAAGACAACGTGTCAAGAAGTAAGTAGACTACACATAGGCTAACAAACTGTTTTATTGTCAAACTGCTTCTAGTTCTTATAGATCTCTTCTATATAGAGTCGAAGGAGTACAGTAGAGTTTCTGTAATCCGACATATATCGAATCGGCAGGTGTCGGATTACAGCAGATTGTCGGATTACTGAATTTTGTATGCATGTACGAACTGCACAGTAAAAAAACGCACTTGGCTCACAGGATAATTTACCGAATTACTCACGAATGTGACTGTTTTGCTCACCGCACGTGCTATAAACAACTAGCAACTGATTGTATACATGTACTGTACAGTACATCAAAATCTCTGTGGCACATATCGACAAGTAGTAGTAACACGAAAATTTCATGTGCGCTGCCCTGTAATGTCGGATTACAGGACGTGACAGACCTGCGAGTAACGGACTATAGTGTCTATTGAAGGGATGGCGAACCTGTGGCACGTAACGTATCATACGTTTTCTATTTATAATCTGTCTTTTACAATCATCCTTTTTTTCAAAAAACGTTTTATACATTTATTCTAAATTTCAAATATTCGTTTAATTTACTTAAATATCATTATTCGAATGGCACGCATAAATATCCTTAAAGCTAAGTATGCTTTCTATGTGGCACAAGAGCTCAAAAAAGTTGGCCACCCTTGCTCTATTGTATATGATGCAGTGATAACGTCGATAATGATATTTGTGTTATGAGAGTAAGATGGAAAACAAATCTGTCATTTTGCACCAAAGGAAACGAATAGCTTTGAAGTTAAAAGATGTGATAAATAAATTTTCTTTCTTTTTAACCGCCATATAATAAATAATGTTTTGTAAAGTGTTAAGTGAGAGGAAATAATTGCCTATTAAACAAATTGGAATACAGTAGAATATTGCTAATCTGGCCATTTTTTGCGCAGAGGAATGCCGGATTACCAAGTTACAGGACTAAAGGCAATGAACGATATGGGCTGTCGCCCTTTTTGGAGCTTTATTTTGTTATTGTGAAGCTATGCACAGGGATACAGTAATTTCAAATTTAATTCTTTAAAATTAATATTAATTATAAAATATTTATCAATTAAAATCAGTTTAAAAAAGTTATCTGACAAGTTTTATTATGATAAAATTTTAAACTTAATTAAAATAATGTTTTAGGTAAACAAAGCTTCAACATACCTTTCGGGCTCAGTTCTACCGTACCTAGATAGAAAGGACCTTGTCTCATCACTATTTCGTGCGCGACGACAGCAAAGGAATATACATCTCCTTTCTGAGTGCCTTGAGGAGGAGGTTTTGATTTTCGAAGTAATTCTGGAGCCATCCAAAGTTTCCCTATTATTAAAAGACACTGCGAAGGTTTCATAATTGAAAATTGAAGTTATAAACTTTATCATACGCGAAATAACCTAATTGAATCTATACAGTGAATGACAGTTTTAAGGTTATGTTTGAACCTAAGCAAGCATGGACTCGCAAAGATCCTCCATTTGTACAAGTTTATATAATGTTTTATCGGGTATCGTGTGATAAGGGATTTACAAACTCTATGATCTTGATTATATTTGCGGATATAACCTTTGATTTGAGAATACAAACTCTAGGATTCCAATGTACTAAACTAAAATCGAGAATCAATGTATTTGTGCTTATCTGAGAATCTTAAAAGCATGAGACTCTGAGCAATCTGAATACCCTCACTGTACAATGACATAAATAATATAATTTTCAATTTTTATTTAAGTTCATTTCAAAAAACTGATTTATGATATATATCTTAAGTGTGTTTAAACAAACTTTGAAAGAAAAATATGATAATAAGAACTAAATTTAATTTTGTTTTTTTAATCTAAAAATTGTACTAATTAGAAGAAATTCAATTAGAAATTTTCATCACCTGTATGAATTCCAATTCTTAGTTTTAATTTTTCTTCTGGTATATGTTTTATAGGAAAGGTTTTCACTGTATTCAATAAAGCTAAGGACATCCTGGCAATTTCACGAACATGTTTGTTTCCATTCTTCGTTGGAAGGCCAGAAACTACCATATAAGCATCTCCTATTGTTTCTACCTATATCATATAAATATTCAATACATAATAATTTATTTTATATATTATAATTACAATTACTACTTAAAGGTAGTAATTTATTTACGGTCATACCTTATATACATCATAATTCTCTATAATCGAATCAAAACAAGTATAAAGATCGTTGAGAAAGTCAACAACCTGAAAATTTTTAAATTTGATGTAGAAATTGAAGTTTATTATATAGGAAAATATATTTATTATATTCTAATCAATATATATAATTTGAAAAAAATATTACTTGTGAAATGCAAAAATTACATTGTAGAAATTGAGAAACAGTTACATTTTATAGAAACAATTTATGATTTATTAAATTACCTGCATTGGTGTACTCTGTGCAGAAAGTGCAGTAAAACCAACAATATCGCTAAAATATATTGTTACGTTGTCGTAAGCTTCAGCTGCAACACCTTCTCCTAATATTAATTGATTTGCAACTGTTCTAAAATAAAGAAATGACATTAGTAATTTTCTATATTTTTCTTTTGTGAAATCTATTTTATAAACTGTAACGTTATAATTATTTCAAAATTCGAATTAGTTATTTTTCTGTTGTAAAATACAAGCCCTCACGTAATACTTTGTTTTTTTTTTTATTAATGATATATTTAAAGATGATTTAATTGCAAAGTGTTATGCATTTTGGAAACAATATGTTACATCCTCTTGCTGGACACTACTACAGATTTCGTGGACTCATATCTCATTATTTAAGTACCGAATCTATTTTCAATGACTGCTTCATTGCAAAAGAAAACAAAGCCGGTCTTCTTGATTTATGAAAGTACTGATATTTGTTAGAGTACTTGAGATATATTAAAGTAAATTCGTTTGTCTCCGACATTTTTTTTACGTTGACTTTAATCATTTTTATCTTTTTACTTTTATCACGCTATTACATCATTACGTTTATCATCTGTATCTTTTCCATTTAACTTTTTTTCTCTAAGTAAGAATCTAAGGAAGATTCTTGTATAGTTCTTTTCGCTTCTTTCGTGGTGTAATTACTAAATTTTCCCAATAGCAATAGTAATTACTGCTAATTGAATCATACTAACTTCAGCTGCATAAATCTCAGCAACTTCATCAGGTGATTCTGATTTCTTTTTCTTTCTTTTAGTATATCACTGACAGCAAAATATACATAAAAAATTCATCTGTTTATTGGCCATCATCTTGTTTTAAAAGCATTGTTTATATTACCAACGAATGTAGCTTTATTGTAAACATGTTATTAGAGCAACTACTTCAAATTGAGACATTAGCATACATGAAAAGCCATTCATTAATCTACAGCTTTTTCATAGAATAGTTGCAGCTCTACATCAAGATATTACAATTTGTGGATCGTATCCATATAGCTGAAAAAGAATTATATTAGCTGATGCTAATTCAGTGTACATAAATTTTTATAGTGTGGCAAAGCCAACGAGTAACAAAATTACTTTTTTCTTTATCGCTGGCTTCACATGTTCAATAAATTTTCAGAGAGACCTTAGGGAACGTTTTCAAAAGTTCTGTAAGACTGCCCGGTGGATACTCAGCAAGCATCGTCCCCTAACTGAAGTGTCTTTCTTTTTCTTTTGAAAATAGACAATTGAGACAGAAATAAACCCTATACAAAGAATCAAGATTGTATTTGTTCTTTCTCCGTTGACAAACCTTGCTGTGCATTTCTTCCCTCTTTGCCCAATTAATTTTGCATTTTTTGTACCTAGAAAGTTCAGTTTTATCCAAGACTGTTGACGCTATTAGATCGTTTTTATAACTGAAGTTAATATGAAGAAAAGATAAAAATACATTTCAATTATAAAATTAAATTAAAGTGAATGGATTAGAAAATATCAACATTTCAAGCACTGTTAAACTGTAAATGAACTTGCTAAAATTTCACTCTCTATTGATATAAAAATCAATAGTGTGTAAAATGGAGTGTAAATGATGAAATTGTTTACTTCAAAAAAGTGACTACAAAAGAATCTAAATAAATAAGTTCTTTCTTAAATTTATATATAATCTTCAGCCTACAAACACATATATTCAACACTATAATGTAATATAAAACAAAGTTAAATAGAATCCTCATTTTATGTTTATGTCTCTAATACACTCCTTCCAAAGTTGATATTACCACCATCGTTTTTGCAATGACACGTTGGAGGTGATCAACGGATTTAGTTGAAAAATTTTGAATAATCCGGTATCCTGATTATCTGTTTGGCCCTTTGAAAGACACTTTTGGGAGACAAGCGATTCACCCGATTCAGGGTTCGTCATGGTGAGGTACTGACACAAACCGGACTTCTATTCTTCAGGCATAGCATCGTTACCAAAGCAATGGGAGAAGTGTCAGCGCGTGGACAAGTACCTAGAAAAATAAACATCAATTGGAACTATGTAACACACAGTTACATTGCCATTACTGAAAGTCTGGCTTGAAATTGAATAGTCCTTGTGAAAAAAAGAAAATAATAATTCTTGAAATATGTCCTTATAGAAAGTAGAGAAACGAAATGTAGCAGACAAATTCATGCATTTTCCTATGTTAAATGTATCTTGTTTATTAATATCAAGATACTAATTTTAATATATATGTATAATTGTTTAATTTTTGAATTTTCTAACAGGAATATTATGGTATCAATTTTTTCCTTAATACTACAACCAGATCCATAAAAACGTTAGTGTTTGAATTTGAAATCAAAGTAGTGTTTGCCATACTTCCTTTATAAATACTGTATTAAAACAATGTCCTTTATTATTTTTGACAATAATCCTAAATGATCCAAACTACGCAATAAAAATCCTTTCGGTTATTAACTAGTTTAAAGATGTAAACATCTACCACATTTAAAACATTTACNAAACGTTACTTAACTCAATTAGAATAATCATATTTGTTTATGAGCAGTAAAATTTCAAGTGTAAGAAGAAAAATTGAATTGTTCTGAAATTTTATAATTTATAAATAATAAATCGTATAATTAATTATTTTATTATAAAAGATACTCTACGAGAATGGCTTGAATAATTCCCATTTCGAATATAAACTCCAAACAGAAATAACAGATATTATTTTTATACAATTAAATCAGTTATATTCATTCAATGTATCAAGAAAAGAATTCATAGATACGTGTTGAAGTAATAGAAATATAAAAATATTATGACTTCTCTAGACAATTTATCTTCGTACAAGAAGCGTAATACAAAACTAAGTAAATAACATACAAAAATTTATTTTGATGTTATAAATAATTTAAGAATCCGGTCGTTTATTTATTTTATAAACCTGGTAGGTGTATTATTTGTTAAAAATAATAGATAAAAACTGAAATAAATTCCAATCCATTGGAGATGTGTAAATATTGACAAAATAAATATCAGTGTTATTTTTGTATGATAGTTGTGATAAAATAATATATAGCATTAAAATTAGCATGTTCTTTCAGCCGTATTTTCTTTTAAACGTGATTTATAAATGTTTTTTAAAGTTTTATGACTGAAATCAGGGTGTATAAAATCTAAACTTTACTAATTTGAGATTAGAAAAAGTCACAAACTTAATTGTTATAACTACTAAATTAACGAACTAATGACACAAAACTAAAGTTATCTTGTTTAATTCCAAACAAAATTACTAATTATAATTTTTTTAAACTAAAAACAAGTCTCTAAACTACGTGAGTAAAAGTAAAATAATGTATACAAGTTAATAACGTACGTGATAAAAATGTATGAAAAGTGTCTAAAAATCAAGCATATATAAGCCTATAATTTTAAAAATAAAAATTTCTAATATTTTAAAACCAACAAAAATAGCTTAAATTAAACACCGTGTAATGTCATGTTAATAAATGAACCGTGAGTTTATAAAAGGTCATAAAATTTCTCAAAGTATAAAAATAGTTTAATTCTCATGTAATTAAAACTTGTCGCATTAAGTATTGAAGCAGAAAATCATCCTAGTTTCTTAAGTTTAACTTAAACATTCAATAGAAAAATGACAAAAGCTCATTAAATTTTCTCAATACAGTATTAATATAAGCCACTTTGTTATCCACGAATTAAAGATAATTCATATAAACCCGAACCTAAATTTTCTTTATTATAAATTTTAAACGAATGAATAGAAATCGATAAGATTTTCAGAAAGTGTACAGTACATCCACTTGCGTTGAAAACATGGAGTGCCAAAACCGCAGGCACAACTCTGTCCCCTTTTCTGTGCTGCATATGTGAGGATTTTCACAGAATTTATTGCAAAATTTTATGATAAAGTACTAACATAGGGTTACTTCCAGCAAGATGAAGCGACTTGTCACGTCACAAGAGTCAATAGTGACAATCCACAGCTTTTTGAAGACCTTGTCATCTCCAAGAATCTGTAGACCCCACGGTCGCCCGATCTTACCAGCCCGTAATTCTTTATGTGGATCTATCTTAAAAAAGAAAAAAAATGTACTGTAATAAACTCCTAAATGATTGACGTCTTAGATTACTGGAAAACATTCATGATGCGTTATGAAAAACATGCAGCAACGCATTGATATGTGCCTGACAGAAGGCGGAGGTCACTTCCAATACTTGCTGTGATACGATGTGTTCAACATAAGTGGAGGTATGTTTTCTGAAAATCTCATCGATTTCAATGTAGTCGATTAAGATTTATAATAAGAAAATTGAGTTCTGGTCTATATGAATCACCCTGTATTTTTCTACATAATGTAGCAATGTAATTTTACTATTTAAATTCAATAGTGTCTCATTATTATTATTATTCATTTTACTTTTTTCCTTTGTAAATAACTGTATAACATTAATCGTTTAGAAAATATTTAATACATTATTTATCAAGAAATTTTCCATATACTGTAATTCCTCATTGTAGATTTTACAATTGACCAGAAAATAATGTTATTACATTTCGAATGAATTCTGTTAAATCCATGAAATCCATTAATTTTTAAGCTAAATATTTGGAATTTATTTTTCGGAATAACATAAAAGGAAATAAAATTTTACTTTTAATTAAATATTCAAGATTATGTATGAGTCTAATATTAACGTAATCATAAAAATCTAGAACAAAAATAGAATATTGACTTTTGAACTATGTTTAAATACTGTAAATTATTCACTTCCTAATTAAAGAAAGACTAACAAATTCTCTCTCTCCTGAGTTTGGCCCACCAAAAAAAAGACCTTACCACTTAAAAAGACCTACCGGAAGGCATTCTCAACGCCAAAGTGTTGCGTTGCCATAACTAAACAAACTCTCCTGAGTTTTGTTGTTGCTTTTGTTTGTATACGACAACACGACTCGCGGGCAATGTGTCGAGGGGTGATGCCTCCCGGAAGAACTTTCTATGTGATACTGACCCTTATTTAGTTTTTACAAACGTGTAGAAAACCCGAAAACTCCACGTAGACAGCTCGTCTGAGAG